CAACTTGTAAAACTCTAATGCCTGATTGTGAAGCATCAAAAATCCCAGTTAGATAGATAGAGTGTCCTTACATAAGCCAGCTGCTGGCGAAGAAATATCGATTTTTATCTCTGAAGGCGATCTTCATCGACGCTGACATGTTTTCTACGCATCGTGCCAAAAAGGATAAGAATTAATGGAAAGAGATTTAAAAAGCAAGTTAATCGGTCGATAAAGAACGGAAGAAGTATCTGACAGCAACTCTCGAGGAAAATTTAAAAGATGGAAATGAAGATGGAATTTTTTTTTAAATCGTGGAAACATTGCACGAACAATAACTCAAATGCATAGCGTATGATGTTTATAACAAGTCGATGGATGGAAATGATTTGTGTAGGCTAAATTCTGATATATAAACTCAAATTTAAACGGTTAAAATTCTGTTAGCTTTCGCAGCACCAAATTTAAAAGAAATCGACCGTAACGCACACGCGTAACAAGAAAACAGGCTAAGAGTCTTTGACGACCCCCTATAAACATAGGTCGAACGGCAGCGCGCGGAATGAAACCTTTATCTTCAAATAATTTATTCGGTATCATGTTTCCTTAAAGTATTTCACGAATTCATTCGGCCGAATGAAGAAATCTATGGTACTATGATTTCATAAAGATAGGAACTATCGGAGAAAACACGTCCTCTCCTCTAAATCTCAGTTTGACCCAACAAAGGAACACGCACAACCCTTGGGTACGGCTCACTTCAAGCTAAGCACTGCCCATTCTTTTTTTTCAAATACTTTATTCGATATCGTATTTCCTCAAGGTATTTCACAAATTCATTCCGTCGAATGAAGAAATCTTGGTACTATGATTTCATAAAGATAGGAAATGTTGAAGAAACACGTCAAATCAACGAAAAGTGCGAATCTATGATACAAGTTCACTCAAAATTTTATTGACGCGAATGAATAACACTGACCTCTTCTGTTTGAAACTTGATTTTTCTGAATGAAATTATTTGAATGGTTGCCTTTTTTACTGGCTTATGTGACGCAGTTTTCCCAATTTGAACATCTAATGAGATTAGATTTCTTACGTCGGGCTTATACCTGACGTAAGAAGAGGGTCTCAGTGGGGTGATGGCTTTTACGACTCACGGTTAAAATTTTGGTGAATTTACGGCTAACGGTTTACACCTTTCCATTGTTTCCACTCGACATATTTTTTACGGTAAACTTTTTTTACGACTAACGGTTAAAATTTGTCAATTTTTACGCCTAACGGCTTAATTTTTTGGCCGTTTTACGACTAACGGTTATCCCCATTGAGACACTCTAAGAAATTTCTCAGAAAGTCCTTGAATCAGGCATTAGGTTTTAGGATGTTACGTATTTATTTCACTCTTTAAGTAGAAGGAAGATCTTTTCTGCTGTCATTCAATGTAACACAAGAATCTGCACTCGTAAAAAAAATATTTCCAAAAACATTTATGGTTTCAATCTTCAAAATTAATGAGTTAATCGTTTTAATGACACAATTTGATTTTTTTTTATCTTATTCAATAAATGATTAAAATGCGGAGTTTAATTGAACGATCTCTGCTTTTTCGGCGGAATTTAATTTGAACAATTTGCCGTTGGAGTCTAGATAAAAACTTTATTACTTCATTGAATAGAAAACTCGGAGCGTAATTGTGAAATCTTGCTGCTGAAAACAAATTATAGTTGTGTGCTCCATTGATACATATCTATTTTCAAAACTGCTACAGGAATACAATTGAAAGTATTTTGATTTAATTTTGAGGTTTCTTAGCTTGAGCAGCTAAAAAAATGTCTAACCTTATTTTTCAAATTATTTTCTTTTTTATGCTTGGACAAAATTATGTTCAAATACAAAGTCATTGTTTTATTGAGAAAATTTCAGCTTTACACTTATAACTGAAACTGAGGAAAGAAAATCCATTCTTGTATGCCATTAAATTTTTTTTCTGTACTCTGCTAAAAAAGACAGTGTTTGAAGAAATAAAAATTTCCGGGTCTTTCTCATCCTGTGTTACATTCGAAAGCTGGCTTCTTTAAAGATCTTTCATCTCCAAAAAAGAAATTATTGCTCGACATAACACAAAAACAAAAACGAAAAAACAATTGATTGTTCTTCAGATTTGAACAACACCGAAAAAAATCCATTCCAACGATAAATTCTGATTGAACTGATTGTACATTGCTATGGTGCTTTTTCGTGAAAATTCACGCACATCATTTCCAGCTAGTTTAAACTGTCTCGAAAAAGAGACATTATCGAAGAACTTTCTTAATTTTGCTAGAAAGGTATGCACGCATTAGCGTACAATCTTTCGCTTGAGATACTGTTTGAATAGTTTTTAGCGAGAAATTTTAAGGAAGGACTGTTTGATTTTTTTGCCGATAAAGTTGTCAGGGGGAACTCTGTGCAAATTCCTCCAAATTTTCCCGCCAAAATTTTCTTTTTTTCGAAACTTAAACAATTTACTTAGAACTATACACTTTAAAACAAATAAAATTATTTGTAGTGTGAAACACGTGTGATTTATTGCATAGATAACAAGAGACAATAAAAGATTATGCAAGAAACTGTCGACTATTTTATTGATGGATTTTGGTGATGATAATACAAGAAGTCAACAGATGGAAAGTAGTAATTTTATTTTTAAAAAAAAAAAACGGCGCATGCGTATTTTGAGCACCGTAGTTTTTTGGCGGGAAAATTCGACGCATTTGAACAGATATTACTTACAGAACCAATAATGAAAAAATTGGAACGTGCGCACTTCTTTCTTGACGGGAAAATTGCAATTTTTTTTA